ACAATCTGGCACACTAAAATGACTATTATCGCTTTTCTGCCCAACACGGATATTCTTTAAAGTGTATTAAACCCAAAAACAAAAATGTAATATATTGCAGCTTTAGTAGTCCTTAGATGTGGCGGCTGCATTATTATTTCTTTCAAGGTTTTTTCCTTTATATTCACCTTGTGATTCTGCCAGTAACACACTTCCTAAGCTAGGGTGACAACGCTTGCTCACTATACTGTATCAGGAAAACAAAAAGGACAGGACTTCAGTAACCTCCTCTTCCTCTCTTCTCTATAACACAGAGAGGCAAGGTTTTGTAAGTAAGATTATTGTGCCCAGAGTTGGGCTTTAAAAAGGAAAGGAAATGAGTTTTAAAATAACAAAAACAAAAAACCTTTGGTCTGTCCAAACGTTTGTATTTATGGTGAAAATTATAGTAAACTACAATTTCTACTGTATACAGCTATTTGAATGTTTAGAAAAGGAACCTAGGACAATGAACAAATCCCAATGTTGGCAAAAAATATCTTTGCTATCTGATAGGAACCATATGCTCCTGCACTGAAATGACCATTCTCTTCAGAACATAAAAGTGGCATGACAGAACAGAATGGCTACTGATAATACATTAATATTGCCCTGTGTGGACAAACCTTTTAAAGGATATATGACCTATCCTTTTTGTCGTCTGAAAAAGTAATCTCTGTTTTATCACCAGCACACCTGAGGAGAGGCTGCACTGCAATCACACACTTTTTGTACAACTAAGTGGATATCATCCTTTAATGCAAGCAGATCCAGAGTATATCCAAAGGCCACCAAAATATAAAGTTACATGGAAAAGCACATACTCAGACATATTAAAGATGCTGAAACGATCGATGCCTGTCATTTGAAAGACAATACATTTTAATTAATACTCCCCAGCAGTTGTTAAAGTAGTATTAATCCCTGAAGATCACAAAGGACAGCAGAGTCTTCGGTAGTTCTGCATCTACTAGCTTGGAGAAGGGAGGAAGGAGGAGCAGGGGACTGACTTCTCTTGCTGTGCCTGTGTGTTTATGGAGACACACAGATTACTGGAATACACAAGGGTGGCTCTATAGGACCCTGCAAGGAAAAGGAGCCACACTAAAACAGCATACATTATAAACATACATTGTAAGTGATGTAATCAGCATTTGAAACAGCTACACAATCTTTTGACTTTAATATCACTTTAAACAAAAAAAGTAGCTCTGGCTGCAATACTCTCTGACTCTCTGGTTCTCTCTGGCACTGACCCCCAACAGTAATTCATTTCTACCACTAGATGTCTTCAGTCTTCCAGACTTAATGACACCCAGAGAACATACTGTGATTGTAGGGTGTCACAGACTTTCCCACTGAGGAGGAGTCACCACAACACCCTGCACTAACATACATGTGGGGAAGGGTTCACGACTTGGGGGTGCAAAGCCAACAAATGGGCTTAAAATTAATCCTGGGGCTGTTGTTGCTGACTTCTTAAAATACTAGTTGCCTGGCTGTGATGCTAACACTTTGGTGTCAGTTCTTTCTCAACCACTACCTGTAGCAAGTATGCAGATCAGGAAGACAGAGAAAAGTCCTTATTTGTGTACTTATGCTGGGTCAGAGACTCAACAAGCTAAAGAAAAAGAGTAAGCATGACAGCCAGGCTAATTGAATCTTAGGAAATTTCACCGACAACATAGCCTGTTCTGTGTTGGAACATAGAGGAAAGAAAGCCTCAATGTTTTCTCATGACAGGTTTCCTTTGAACCACTAACCTCAGCTTGACCTGCAAACAATGCTATCCAACATCCAGCCTGTTATAACACATGACCAACTTAACAAGCAGATAGTTATGTTAAGCGTTATGAAGACAGCAGACAGATATGTGCCTAAAATATATTAGGAATAATAAAGCCCACTTGCATTGCTGTCACAAGTAAAACATCAGCAACTGCCTTGCTGAGCACAGAAGAAGAGCTACAGTTAATGAAATTTTGTTTTATGCAATAGTCAGAGTTAATTGACCAGTAGACAGATTTTACCTTTTTGCATGGCTTTTAATTGGAAACGTCAGATTTGCTTTTCATCATGAATTTTATTTTATGACAACCATTTTCCAACACAGATAAGGACATAACTTTGCTGTCTGTGCTACTGCTTGCTCTGCAGATGACGACAGCCTTACAAAAATGCCAGAGAGAAGAGGGGGCGTGTAGTGGCATCGTACTAGTATATGAATGGCCCTGTGCCACCTGAAGCAACCTATTCTTGTCCTCTGGGCCAGTACCACTATCAGAGGCGGCTCTAGACTTTGTGAGGCCTTAGGCGAAACTCAAATGTGAGGCCCCCACTTACACCCATAATGAAAAATGAACTGTGATGATCAGCGATTAGAGCGAGCCCAAGGCCGGTGCAAAGATTTTGGCTACACAGGTCCCCCCCTTCCCGGCACCCTCAGCCTTATGCTAGCACCAGCCCTGGTCCCATGTAACCTGGGAGGTGAGCTGATTAGGGTTGCCACCTTGTCTTCCAGCGAAACCCAAACACTCTAGCACAGTGCACCATTTTTTTTTTTTTGCAGAATATACAGGAGAGGGAGCAAGGGAATACAGCCAGGTGAGAGAGAGGAAAAACAGCCAGGAGAGAGAGTGAGGAGAGACAGCCAGAAGGAGAGACAGCCAGGAAGGAGAGCGAGGAGAGAGTGCTGAGGTGATATGCAGGCACAACAGGGGGACTAGACTGCCCGGTCCCCCCGCATGTATTTGTGTGTGGAGTTGCAGGGCCTACATGTAGGCGCTGGAGCACAGGATGGCAATGAGCCGGCAGCATTTCTGGTTACACGCAGCCAGTGGCAAAGCTAGACATTCCGTCACTCAGGACAAAGACTCCCCCCAGTAGATGTTCTCCATTCACACACACCCCACCCCACCCTTCTGGGTTATCTTCTTTTGTCATGGTGGCGCCCCTCCTGATCCACCGCAGGTGAGGCTTCAAATCACCTCATTCTCCAGTTCTGCTTCATTAAAGGAGAACTATGAGGTGAGTGATTTAATCAGCATGTGACATAGCTTAAAACCTTTTGATGTTAATATCACACTAAAGCTAGTCCATTTTTTGCTTTAAGTAAGTCCAGCTATTTTTTCTTTTGGATGGAGTAGGAAAGTATTACAATCCCTGTCATGTACTGATAAATGGGACTCTATTAGAGAGAGATTGTTGCCAGTACAGAAAGTGAGGGGAAATCTCTCTAACAGACCACAGAATAGGAATAAAACCGCAAGAGATGTTCTATTATTTGCCACTCCATCCAAAAAAAAAAACTTTAAGAGAAAGGTTCAAACTTTGCTTATGTCACTGCAGCTGTTTGTGTTCACACTGTGGAGATTCTACCTTAATCGCTGTATTGGTGACTACTTTCAACAAGATAGAAATTACATAGAAATTCTCACCAATGGGGGCAGACAGTGAAAGAGGTTTAATCTTTTAACTACTCTAAAAAAAAAAAAAAGTCATTTAATGGGAGTCCTACATTTAAAATCCCTGCTTTTTATTCAGCAGTAGAACCATGGCAAAATATTAGACTAATGAAAAGATTTAACACAGCCCCAACATATTTTCATTTTAAAGTTCTTTGTTATAATTGTTACAATGCCAGTGCCTCCAACAGAGAACATGCACAGAAGGACTAAAACACATTATTAAATAGCATTTTGTCAGCCTACCTTGCAGAACACAACAGAAACCCTCAATATAACTGCTAAGTATAAAAATAAATACCACAATAGCACCACAGTATTGATAATATTCAGTGTATCAAAGCTCCAGTCCAATTTACTGAACATAAATATTTGAAGCTTAACCCACATTAACAAAAAGATTTATACCCCACTTGCTTGCAAGTACTTTCACGCATCTTGACAGAGTTGAGAACTGTGCGCTGATTCACTTGGAAAGCCGTCTCTACTGATCAGATTCCAAGAGTGCAAGAGTGATTGACCTGGCATGCACTTCTCATACCAAAGTACACTAATGTATAGGCTTATACTCATCACTGCTTGGCTCATGACAAACCGGTCTGTAAACAGGAAAACAAGACTAGGTTCTTCACTGAAGCATCTCAACATTCTTTTGACATCTGCTCACTTCTATCTAAGACAATAAGGGATTCTTAGTAAATACTGCCTGAAACGTTGTCACATGTACAGTGATTTGTCTGTAACAATCAATCACCTGGCTATGTATTGAAATGTTCTATAATTGCCTGTTTCATTTCTATTGTATTCAATTCAATGTATTTTATACACCAATGATGAACAATTCTAAATGTGCTGAACTGCACAAACACGTTTGATGAGCCCATGGAATGTATCCACCTCTGAATGAATGGTGAACATGAATTAGATGTGAATGAAGGCCAACAATGACTAGGAACTACAATGTCCCATTTACCCTCAGAAACGTTATTACACCGCAGACTGTGTCAAAGGATTCCCTGGTTCTGAGTGGGTTTTATGAATGATTACACCAATTCCGTGTTTAGCCAAAAGACTTGCATTTTTGATCAATGTGATAAAAGTGGTCATAAAGCCAACTTTTTTATAGTAGGACTTATAACCACTGTTATGTTTTAATTTCTGCCTCTGTGAATTTACCTTCTCCATTTGTCCTGGTAACCATGGTCACAGGGACTGAAAGTGAGGGAACATCCAAATTGTTTAGTTATCAGAACACAAATAGAGGTAAATCTTCCAATGGGGTAACTTTCTCCTGTGACGACTGTTTAAGATAGGAGTTCCCTCACTTTGGGGAAATTTACTCTCACTTCCTGATGTGTCTACAGGACAGGAAGCAAAGGGAAATCTCCATAATGGGAGATGGAATAAAAAAGCATAACAAGGGTTTTAATCCTTCCCTACTTAAACGAAAAAGTTTGGACTGTAGATAGGCTTCTAAGACGCAAGCAATGCTAATTACCGGTCTAGTCGTGTTATGCTTCAAGAAGCTGCTTTTGTAAGAAAGGTGAACCTTTTCTTTAGCTGAACATGTTTCTAAAGACAATCAGTCAGAGGATAATATACATTAATGCATTGATTCTAAAACAACTAGGGATGTTCAGATACCAAGTACCGTACTCGGTACAAGTATAAGTACAGATACTTTTCCAGCTAGACTAGACTAGAGAAAAATTCAAAAGTTAGGAGGCAGCTGTCATTTTTAAGGAGCATACAGAGCTCCTGGGATTTGTGTATCCCTGTTTTAATGTATGATTTTTTTTTTTTTATAAATATATATAAGGGATGCACCAATACCATTTTTTCAAGTACAAGTACTGATACTAGTCCACATATACAAGTACTGATACATTTTTTTTTTATTGTCCTGTGACCCTTTTCTGTACTCCTCGCATAAAAAGTTCTGTCAATGAGTCCTGTTTGGTGTTTTAATGAGAAGTCACTTTTAATCAGTACATTAAACCCAACTAAACAGAATACTAATGCACTCAAAAATTAACCACTCAACACGTTTACACAGATTATTTGAAATTTCAAAAGCCTTATAAGACCTATGTGTTAATATGAATATTTTAATCTCCTCACAATATGATACATAAACGATATATAGAAAATAAAACAAACTAGCACAAACCATGAGGTGTAAAGTGGTCACTTTTCACACAGCGACTACACAGAATATAAAACAGTCAGCAATGTTATACACCAACAAGGCAATCCTGTTACTGATTTCTGCTCATCAAGAACAGATTTAGTGATAAATCAGGGATGTAAATATTGTAAGAAATATGTCAGACAAAACTTTCCAGACTGCCAGCCGAAGATTTATGTTTGAGTGTTGGATTTTACTTGAGTGGGCTCTTCGTTAACGTTTTGCTAACAATGACATAACAGGTTACCAGATTGCTGTGAAGAGGCCCATTTGTACAAGACATATTTTTCGTAAGGTTATTTGCAGTGTTTAATTTAATCCATCTGTTCCCTTTCTAGGGCTGAAGAAACCACAAGATTCACTCCATTGAGCTTTAAAGACAGCGGCAGTTAACCCCTTTCCTGCCAAAACATCTCTTAAAATGCATGCCTCAAGTCAAGCCAAAAGCAAAAAAAAGGGCTCCGTTTATAAAACATTATGCAGAACACACAATTTTAAAGAGCAGCTGCTTGGCCGTTGTGGCCTCTGAGCTGAGACCAAAACAGCATTTACCCAGCTTGAAAACAGCCACTTATCACTTTAGTGTGTAATTAGGGAGCTGACCAAATAGAAAATTGCACATCCAATACACTTACCCTGTCCATAGCTAGCTTTAATGTCATTCTAGAGAGCTCTGAAGTGGAGGGATGCAGGCAATGAAGTGAAGAAAGAAAATGTGCCACAGGGATACTCACGGTTTCTTGAGACTTATCCTTGACATCATACACCGATAGCTTAATTTTAGTTTCTTCGTAGATGGGATACTCCGAGGGAAACGTCACACCCGTCAGAAACAGTGGATCTCTTGTTCCCTGTATAGCACAAGCAGACAGTCTGAGCTCAATGAGGTGGCAGCTGCTGGCAGCAGAGAAAGCAACTGACAGACAAGCAGGCAGACAAGAGTAAAAAAGAAAAGATATCGATTTCAAAGAATACTTTCAGTCTATCCAAAGTCTGATGTCGCCAGCAGCCTCTTTTGGAGTATAACTCAGGCATGCTGAAATAAATTAATCTGGAAAAACACAACAGACTAGCATCGATCAGTTAAAAAAAACAAAAAAACTGAACGCCTATCTGTCATTATCTATCAGTGGCGGTCTTCCTGTGCAGCAATAAACTGTTTATTTCCTAGGCCAGTCTGTTGTGTTTCCTTGGGGCCAGCTGTCACAGTGCTTTGTGTCTCTTTTGAGGGGACCTGTGCTGTAATTTGTACAAACAGCCAGGAACTATTCTAGTATTATATATATATTCTAGTATTTGGGGATTACATTCACAAAGTGAAGCATCCAGCTGACAATGATATCTATTTCTACAAACCCTGTTTGCTGTCAGGTTCACACACACAGATTTAGACTTTGTTCTTGACAGTTGCCTTTTATCCATTCACTCATTTTTATAACACCCAGTTGACCTAAATATCCTACGAGAACATCTGTTTTAAAATACTGCTAATAAATCCTTTCTCTTCATCAGGATACTTAACTCACCTAAACACTAGTGGTATTTTTAGAATTGACATACAATTTGTCTGATGGGGTTTTTTTTAGCATTCAGGCTAAACTGCACATTATTTTTGCTGATGACATGAACTCCAACATTGATCTTCTGAGCTGTACCCATGTTGATGTTATCACTTTAAAGCAAGCCTGTACATTACATTGTTCTTTCAGGGCAAAGTAACAGGTTTTCTGGATAACGCATTTGCTTTAAAGGTTGTACTCACCTCCTAAGCACTTCCCAGCCTCCCCATTTGCCCAATGAATCTACAACAAATTTGCTGTATAATGTTTGGGTTAAAGCTTACACAAGACTAGCGACCCTTCTGCATGTGACAGCACCCAGAACTGGCCATTGGCAGCTGAGGCTGCATTGCTAGAGTCAGTGAGAAAGTCACCTCTTCCCCCATATTAGGAAGTATAAGGTTCTATCCAAGTGCCCTGCAGGTAAACAGATCAGTAGGGAGTGATCGAAATACATACTAGCAGGTCCACATACCAAACCTGTTACTTTGCCTTGAATGAGCAAAGTTCAGGTTCAGATTGCATCACTAACCTACTTACTGACATATCTACATGGATGTCACACCACTCCCTCAAACTAAATCTGTCCAAAACTGAACTTATAATATTTCCTCCTCTCTGTGTTCCCTCCCCCGACTTCTCCATCACAATCAACAGCACTACAATCAATCCCTCCCATCAAGCCAGGGTGCTCGGAGTAATCCTTGATTTTGAGCTCTCCTTTCAGCCCCACATCCAATCACTATCCAAATCCTGCCGAATCAACCTTCATAACATTTCCAAAATTGGCCCTTCTTAACACATGATACGGCAACTCTTCTATTTCACTCCCTTGTAATATCTTGTCTTGACGACTTTAACTCCCTCCCAGTTGACCTACGACTAAGCACGCTACGCACCCCCTCCAGCCAAAAATATTACAATATTTTGAATAGGGAAATGGTATAGCTTATGTCATGATATTATTGCTATTATTGCTATTACTGTCTTTATTGGGGTGAAACGGTCAGTTTAAAGTACCTCCGCCCAGTTAGACATACTAGGTAATGCTTTAAGAAGAGTATCTTTATACAAACATGTCTAAGCAACCTTTGGACTCAAAGGAAAAGTGCCTCTTCTCCAAGATAATCATAAACTGCCACACACCTTAACCTATCAAGAAAACTAAGCCTAGCAATCCTTCAAAAAACGGGTGTAAATTGAGGTGGTTTTGGCATCACCAGGCAATATCTAATTGGCAGAAGATCCTGCAGTAGTTCCACAAAAACTGGTGGAACTATATATCTTTTCCTGGGAATGCATTTCCCTGAAAGATCTGAACTGAGACACAACTGTACAACCTGCTTTTAAAGGCTCACTGGATAAGGCATTGCAGTCAGCAATGATGACCATTGCTTGTAGCACTATAGAAATCAGCTCATTGATCTCCCCCAGTAAAGTGAAACCTGATTTTTGCTATCGACTTTTGTATTTTGCACTTCATTGAGGTTCTTTTTGTGTTAGTCATGGAACATGCTATGAAACAATTAAAAGCCTGTCTGCTCCATAAATCTAAGAAAATCTGATAATGGCTTCCTACCCAATACAGAGTGATATATGTATCAGTATTATTAAAATATAGCCACACAGATGAGTTACTGTGGCTGACATAAAATCTCTCTGACAATTCCGCTTTTTATTTATGGGTGAAAAAGTGATAAGCATTGCATACTTACAAAGATATGCTTCTGTTGAGTGGACGGTATAAGTTTGAAGGCTGGCCGCAGGCTAGCCTGGATTTGTGGGAGGAGCCAGTGCCTTTAAAGACGGCACGGCTCACAGGGAATTACGTCGGCGGGACACGAACATCCCCACCCGCCCATTCCCCTTGCTTTCATTCATTCATTTCATTTTACATTCAGAGTATGCCCCCTTTTAGGCATACTGACCTGAGAATGCCAAGGCACACCACAGGCCATGGGGCGGGGTTACTAGGTAATGCTTTAAGAAGAGTATCTTTATACAAACATGTCTAAGCAACCTTTGGACTCAAAGGAAAAGTGCCTCTTCTCCAAGATAATCATAAACTGCCACACACCTTAACCTATCAAGAAAACTAAGCCTAGCAATCCTTCAAAAAACGGGTGTAAATTGAGGTGGTTTTGGCATCACCAGGCAATATCTAATTGGCAGAAGATCCTGCAGTAGTTCCACAAAAACTGGTGGAACTATATATCTTTTCCTGGGAATGCATTTCCCTGAAAGATCTGAACTGAGACACAACTGTACAACCTGCTTTTAAAGGCTCACTGGATAAGGCATTGCAGTCAGCAATGATGACCATTGCTTGTAGCACTATAGAAATCAGCTCATTGATCTCCCCCAGTAAAGTGAAACCTGATTTTTGCTATCGACTTTTGTATTTTGCACTTCATTGAGGTTCTTTTTGTGTTAGTCATGGAACATGCTATGAAACAATTAAAAGCCTGTCTGCTCCATAAATCTAAGAAAATCTGATAATGGCTTCCTACCCAATACAGAGTGATATATGTATCAGTATTATTAAAATATAGCCACACAGATGAGTTACTGTGGCTGACATAAAATCTCTCTGACAATTCCGCTTTTTATTTATGGGTGAAAAAGTGATAAGCATTGCATACTTACAAAGATATGCTTCTGTTGAGTGGACGGTATAAGTTTGAAGGCTGGCCGCAGGCTAGCCTGGATTTGTGGGAGGAGCCAGTGCCTTTAAAGACGGCACGGCTCACAGGGAATTACGTCGGCGGGACACGAACATCCCCACCCGCCCATTCCCCTTGCTTTCATTCATTCATTTCATTTTACATTCAGAGTATGCCCCCTTTTAGGCATACTGACCTGAGAATGCCAAGGCACACCACAGGCCATGGGGCGGGGGGTGGCGGGGTGTCACTTACTTGATAAGGCTCAGACCACAATTATGATTTCTCTGAAATTAGGTAAAGCAACCTAATAATTGGGATGCTTAAGGCTATGTAAATATCTGATGTTTAAATGCATGATACACATTTAGAATTAACCCTCGATGACAGGTAAAAGTTTTCTATTAAGGTTCTTTATTATTATAATTATAAAATCATTAATCCAGCAGAAAATAACATGCTTAAAAGTAATGTGCCTTTGAAAGATAAAGTAACAAAACCAACATTTGTTGTAATATTCAGCCCTCAATCTAGAGATTTTCCCCATAGTACTTTTTTTCTGTCACTACATGTCATCATTTAAGCCACTTCCTCTATCTCCAGATCGTCTTGGTACAGCCCGAACCTGTAACACGACAATGAAAGTAGAAGCAGCACAGTGAAGAGCTCATATCTCTGTCACTCTGCTTTCTCTTCTTATCAGCATGCCTCTTGTAAGCACATGAACTGATTGATACCTTGTAATGCTTCTTCCTATTACACCTGCCCTGCTGTATAAGGACTTCAAAAGGGAAATACCAGGTCATATTCAGGTATTTATACTGCTTGCATTAAAAAATACTATTAAATAGAGGTGCAACAAAATTACATTTTTAAAACCGAAACAAAAAAATTCTAAACTTTTCACATTTTTAAAAATAGTTTATTTAAATTTTTTTATAAACTTACATTTTTTTTATATTTTATTTTCATTAAATATTTTTATTTTTTTACTTTACTGTTGGGGTCTTCGGGGAAATTTCAGGGGTCTAAACAGACCCGATAGTAGAAAAAGAGATTGACGACACAAAGACACAGAGTCCTAAGAGACACACAGGGTTATTCACAAAAGGGTGAAGAGTTTGGAGAAGGCAGGAGAAGTGAACAATCTAGACCAACATAGCTGAACTGGAAAGTTAGCTGCAGTATAGTGATATACCTGTAAAGAATTATATGAAACATGAACATGTATATGTATGTATAAATTATGCATGTAAAATGGATTGTAAATATACAAATCAGCAATAATCTTAGAAGTAGAGACATGTTATTTGGAGATTTTTCCAAAAGTGCCATTTTCATAGTTGAAGTGATACTAAACTCTGGAGTTAAATCTTAAAAATGCATTCAACTACCCTAATTATTAACAAAACTGGACCTTATTTGTTTATCACTCAGCTGTAGATCCTCAAATCATCTCTGAATTGGTGCTGACACTGTTCTGCCTTCTGGAGGGTGACTACTTTTGTTCCCAATAGTCTCTGTGTGTGTTGCAAAGTAGCCACTGCATCAAGCTTGCCCCCGGGATGGACTACAATCTCACATTTAGTTAACTAATTTGCATTGAGACTGTAGTCCATCACAGTAGTG